CTGAAAATGTCACTGACAAATACAATGTCTTTTGGGATATCTATTTCAGTGGGTCTCTTTGTGGCTACAACAGAGATTTCTGGTGACCAGATGTCTACCTAGTGCACAAATCTAGACTCATTTCATTCAACATAGAGCTATATTTTAATAGCTTCCAATGAAACTGAGATGAGAGTCATATCTATCTGCCTTTGAGGGAAGAAAACATTCTAACAAGAGAATGCTGCTTTTTCACAATGAGCATCCTAAGTATGTCTCCACTGAACACCTTCTCAGTTTCTACAAGGATTCCATCAAAACCTTGCCATGGTTTTCATTTTTTATTAGTATGATATGATCATCTAACGCATTTAAATAATGAATTTAGAGCATGGAGTGAATTGCCATTTTAGGATTAGAAGTATTTTTAGAGGTGAATATATTCTAAATCATGTTTTAATTCCAAATATAATGAATTATATTTTGATATCTAAAATTTCATGATGGTGGCAAACAGAGAAAATTGCAACATACTAAATTTAAGCTTTCAAAACTTTAATTTTATGGGCCGGGTGCGGTGGCTCAAGCCTGTAATCCCAGCACTTTGGGAGGCCGAGGCGGGTGGATCACGAGGTCAAGAGATCGAGACCATTCTGTTCAACATGGTGAAACCCCATCTCTACTAAAAATAAACAAAAAATTAGCTGTGCATGGTGGCACGTGCCTGTAACCCCAGCTGCTCAGGAGGCTGAGGCAGGAGAATTGCCTGAACCCAGGAGGCGGAGGTTCAGTGAGCAGAGATGGAGCCATTGCACTCCAGCTTGGGTAATAAGAGCGAAACTCCATCTCAAAAACAAACAAACAAAAAAAAACTTTAATTTTATTCAGAAATTTGGAAGTTTTCTGACTTGGCTGTTACTAAATGTTATTCTTTCTACTCACAGCTTCTTCGTTCAACCATTCCGTTGAGCATCTATTGGGTAATATGTAGTAGAAATTCTGTAGTGATTTATGGGGCGGATAGTACTGCAAGATCCCCTGGTAAAACCTTACTCATTTGATAATTGGGCAGAAATCAATTAAGGCTCTGTCTCTTTTATTTAACACACACATTCTAATTTTGATTCCTTTTCAAAAAATATATAATGAAATATATATGGCAGTAACCCTAAATTTAAGTTGACTAAATCCCCCAATCAAAAGATACAGCCAAAACCTAACGGTATGCTACATCCAGACCCATTTCACATGCAAGGATACACGGGATGGAGAAAGACTTACCAACCACATGGAGAGCAAAAATAAATAAATAAATAAATAAAAAGCAGGAGTTGCAATTCTCGCATCTGATAAAATAGATTTCAAAGCAACAAAGATATAGTGGTAAAAGGATCAAGGCAACAATAGGAGCTAATGATCCTAACACCCAGATACATAAGACCCATAAAAAGACTTAGACTCAACGAGACAGAAAATTGATGAGGACAACCAGGACTTGAACTCAGATCTGGAACAAGTAAGCTTAATAAATATTTATAGAGCTCTCCATTTTAAATACACAAAATATACATTCTCTGCTTTAAATACACAAAATATTGGTTGGCCATTATTAATGCCCATTTTTAGAATAAAGCAACATTCCCATTCTCTCTCCCTCTTTTTCTTCCTCTTTCTACATCTCCTTCACTCCTTTTTTTTCTCTTTCTTTTCTTCTTTCCTTTCTGGAAAAAAAAAAAAGAAACCTGGCCAACAGTGTGTTGCCAATTATTGGTTGGTTGTAACTAACATAAATTAATAACTGTAAATGATCTGTAGTTAAAATATTTTTTGCATATATATATATATATATTTAGATGAGTCTCACTCTGTTGTCCAGGCTGGAGTGCAGCGGAGCAACCTCAGCTCACTGCAACTTCTACCTCCCGTGTTCAAGTGATTCTCGTGCCTGAGCCTCCCAAGTAGCTGGGATTACAGTCGTGCACCACCAAGCCCAGCTGATTTTTGTATTTTTAGTAGAGACAAGGTCGCACCATGTTGGCCAGACTGGTTTTGAACTCCTAACCTCACGTGATCCACCCGCCTCGGCCTCCTAAACTTCTGGGATTACAGGCATGGGCCACCGAGCCCAGCCTGCAAATAGATATTTTTATAGGTTTTATGTCCGTGTTTGGCATAGGGCTAGCATACTATATATTAGTCATTTGTATATATGTTATGAATTTTTCTTTCCTCCTTGTTGTTAATATATATGTCAATTTATATTTATCTATAGATACCAATATATTTATGTCTATTCATTTGTTTATGTATCTGTGAAACCACTTAAAAAAATCCTTGATCTATAGTGGCCAAAATAAATTTAATAAATTAATAATTAAATTAAATTTAATATACTTTTTAAATTTAACTAAGAATACCTCTAGTTTACATTCATAGTATCTATCCATGAAATGATAGACATTATGAATGTAAACTAGAGGTCAGAATGTGCTAAAATTATCATGAGATGACAGTTACTAAGGTGATAATAAAATTATGCATAGTTTATCAGATTGGAACACATGAGTTAACTGAAAATAAACCACAAAATATAGTTAACAGTTGAGACACATATGACTTTTTGTATTTTAAAATAATAACTAAAAACTATTCTTTCTTTTGGTTTTTAATTTTTACTTCACTAAGACACTGATTTTATTCTAGGCCTTTCTTATTGACTGCTGATCTTTCCCTGTTATTTGACATTAAAGACAATACAAAGAATGCATCATCAGTGTAACACGGTCTGAAAGGGATCAGTAAATTGAATGTGATCATTAGAAATAGATCCAATTCTTGATTTAGCAGAGACTATAGAAGTTTTTTTTTTTAAAGAAAGAAAAAAAAGGAGTGAAGGAGAGGAAGAAAGAGGAAGAAAAAGAGGGAGAGAGAACGGGAATGTAGCTTTATTCTAAAAATGGGTATTAATAATGGCCGATCAATATTTTGTGTATTTAAGGTGGAGAATGTATATTTTGTGTATTTAAGGAGAGAGCTCTATAAATATTTATTGAGTTTACTTGTTCCAGATCTGAGTTCAAGTCCTGGATATCCTTATTAATTTTCTGTCTTGTTGAGTCTAAATCACTTTATGAGTCTTATGCATCTGGGTGTTAGGATTGTTAGCTCTTATTGTTGCATTAATCCTTTTACCACTATATCTTTGTTGCTTTGAAATCTATTTTATCAGATGTGAGAATTGCAACTCCTGCTTTTTATTTATTTATTTATTTTTGCTCTTCATTTGGTGGTAAATCTTTCTCCATCCCTTTGTTTTAAGTCTTTGTGTATCTTTGGATGTGAGATGGGTCTGGATGTAGCATATCATTAGGTTTTGGCTGTATCTTTTGATTGGGGGATTTAGTCAACTTAAATTTAGGGTTACTGCCACTTGATGTTAACTGGCTATTTTATCCATTCATTGATGTAAATTCTTCTTTATGTTGATGCTCTTGACTTTTTGGTATATTTTTAGAAAGGCTAATACTGGTTTTTCCTTTCTATGTATAATGCTTCTTTCAGAAGCTCTTGTAAAGCCAGCCTGGTGGTAATAAAATCTCTTTAAGGATGCTCAACATCCTTAAAGAAGTTTTTTTTATAAGCTTCTTCTATTACATTTTTTTTTCTTAGTATATTTATGGTCCATTCGCTAATACACTCTTAGGTATCAAATCACTGAAGATTTTAGCATTTTATTATCACCAAGACCTTTGTTTTCGTAAGAGGCAACAAGATAGTCTTCTTGATTGTGAAAAGTTGTTGTCAGATCAAATCCTTTTTATGCCTCAGATTATAGGGCACACTAATTCTTCAAACTGTCTCTAGGCCTATAGACGTCTCTAGGCCAAACCTTCTATAGGCCTTCTATAGAAGATGTCTTGCTGAGAAGGAATAAATGGCCAAAGTGTCTGTATCTGAAGTTTTCTGTATTATCTTAAATATCCCACATTGAGGATGGACAGGTAAAGTAGGCATATGAAACAATATATTTTTGGTATATTCAACCTGTAATTATTATGGATTTTTCATGTAGTAATATGATGATATAATATGAAATAATTTAAGATGCTTATTAAAACTGAAAGATAAATCAGTAGTAGGCTATGATTTGTTTATTTTATGGTATAACAGCATTATTATAAAATCTAGAGTTTTCGTTAGATGCTTCTACTTCTCACAGGGAGACAACAATATTAATGTTCTTGTGTAGCTTAGTATGCTATACGTAATTTACATGTGATTTTTAGACTTGTAATTACAAAAAAAAGTACTAAGGAGTCATTCATGCTCAGCATCCCAAAAGGAAAAAACCCAGAAAACACTATCAATACATAACTGAGCCTCTTTGGTTTTCTTCATTTGGAGTGATGAAATCAATCATTTGATTGAATCGACACAACAGTCCTTCAACTGTATAATCTGCTTCAAGATACTATGTTGCTTAACATAACAACAAGCCAAAATTGAAAACACTAAAATCTTAGTTTTGTTTCCTTTGATTTCTTTTTTTTTCTTTCTTTTGGTTTGTGGGCTATACAATAATGTTCAAAGTTCTCCAACATAAGGTACTGATTTTTTCACAATTCCTTCCTTTCTCAAATTTAGCTGCACATTGAGATCACCTGGAAAACTTAACAAAATGCTAACATTTGAGCCCAAGAAATTCTGATGTAATGTGGATGAAAACCTGGGCATTGAGTCATATAATATCTCCCCCTGGTGATTACAATGAGCAGCAGGCTTGGCATTCATTGGTATATGTAAATCTGATATTCTCATGACTGATCATTGCTGGACTGCCACCCAACTTTTGCAACCTCCCATTTACTGAAGAGATGGTCTCCCTGTCTCCCTCTCTCTCCTCTCTTAGAATAGATACTTCTATCAAAGCTTGACTGTGACTAATTAAAAAAAAGCTATTATTCTTATACATTTATTCTACAATTTTTTCACCTTTTTATACATGTTAGAGGCAACAACAATAACTTCTAGCAGTGTTTATTTTTGTTTAAAGAAACCAATTGAATTAAAGGTTAAGATACCTTCTGATTGCACAGATTAAACAAGAAAGTATTACATATTTCAACTTTACAAAGCATCTTATTGATTTTAAAAGATCCATACTATTGATAAAGTTCACCATGAAACATATATGTAATAAGGAGACTAACATATTCATTTTACATATCTACAACATGTATTTTCATATTTCTAAATCAACCACAAATCATATAGAAAATATTAGGTCCATGAAAAAGCTTCAAAACATTAAAAAATTAACATTTTGAAAAAGATCACATGTGAAAGCTCATTAAATAATAACATTGACAAATAAATAGTTAATCAGCTTTCTTATTAGCTGCTGCCATGCATTTCTGGCATTCCATTCCAAGCAAGGGTCTGCATGCAGGGTATAATTTCATACTATGTGACTGTAAAAAGCTATAGGGCTTATTTTTGAAGTGAAATGTCACAAGGTCTTTCATTCTCTTTCAAAGGAAGATCACTCATGACTGCTAAACTGTTCCCATGAAGAGTACCAAAAAAGCACCTTTCTGAAATGTTACTGTGGAGATTCATGGCAACAATTTTTTTTTAACTTTTCTATTTTGAAGGGAATTTGTTTGCAAGAAGGGATGGACCAGGAGATGGAGGGTAACTGAGAAGCCCTTTTCTGTTTTAAAATATAATTATTCACTGATGTATATAGTATCAATAGTCTTTTAAGAACGATGGGGAATTAAAACTACAGGATACATGGAATTTAAATGCAAATTGCATTCATGGATATACATACATCTTGAAAAACTTGAAAAGGGAAAACTCTTCCCAAAGAAGGTCCTGATACTTAGGACAGCTTGCTGGGTTTGATCAAAGCAGAAAGCTATACTTTCAAGTGAGAAAATAGCAATGGCAGGCTTGAGTCTTCCAAGCAATCAAATCTGTAAAGCAGATGGTTACTAGTAAGTCTAGTTTTGGGAGTCTGAGTTCTAACTCATGCTGTGCTTGCTGGATTTGCTGGCTTTCTTCCGCTCTCTGTGATGCTGGACTGGCTTGGCAGGTGACATGCTCTCAAAGTTGTGACTGGACTCGTTGTGCTGGCGGGTGTACCTCTTGCACTTGCAGGCAGTGACTACTGTGATTTTGTAGGTGCGCGTGCTGCCATCTTGGCATTGCAGCTGGATTCTCTGGGTACGGGTTTTGTCATTGACACACCGCCACTCCTGGGAGCTCCTCCTGCTCCAGTACTTTGTTCCATAGCCTCCTCCAATCCAGTTAGGGAGCACTGGCAGGGGCAAGCACTCGCCAGCACACACCAGCTCCTTCAGAGGGCTGATGCTGGTGCACTGGCCATCAGAGATGTATTTGGTGGAACGCAGTTCTCGGCAACCCACTTGAACTTGAGCTGTGAGAAACAAAAAAGAATGTGCATCAGAGACTAAATGCAAATGAAAACTTTCTTAAAAAGTGATCTGCAATGACAAAAATAACAGCCAAATGACAGTAAATTACCAAACAGAAAGTGAGCACCTACTTTATTTTCACAATGAAAAAATCTGCCTGGGTAGTATAGAGACACTTTCATGAAAATCATTAGTTTACATGGCTATAACTCTTTTGGGGGGAAAAAAAATCTAAGCCTGATTTTTTTCATGTATAACATTAGCTAATTGCTTATTGGAGTGTTTGAAAATCCAATTTTCTTAGTCTCTCCAATAATGGGTTAGCAGCTCTTCCATTTATGTGTAAATATTGATTCTTCAGTAAGTTAAAACAGTATACTTCAATATTCTCTTTCTCAAGAGTCATATTGGTTAATGTCTGTAAGTGATTTTAATTAGGCTTTAAAAAAAATCTGTTGAGAAAATGTGGAAGGTATTTAAATATTGTGTAAATGCATATGCACTTGGTAATGTTTTATTTCAATTATTGATTTTAGCTGCAGAGACTCATACATACATATGTGTACAACGTCTGACATTTTGCATATCAAACTTAATAACTGTTTTAAACATAAATTCCCAAACTGTCTTTTAAAAAATATAAACAGTAAAATGTTTGAAATGCAAAATGCCACTACAACTCAAGATTCAAAGAATATAAAAGCCCCTAAATAAGGAATGTATGGTTGCCATAACAACTTGGCTACATTTCCATGAATTTTATAGCAGAAAATGCCTAACATATCTGATTTACAACTGCAAAAGGAACCAGGGTGTTCATTTCCCAAATATTGGTCATGGCAAACTTTTTGTTTTAGTTATTTGGATTTGATAGTTATGTTGTCGAATTGGCTGTTTCTTGTTACATGCCTTATGTAATTAAAGCAAAAATTAATCTTGAAATATTTTAAGTTTTCTTTATCACTGCTTTGTTATCCAAACTTGACGAGAATTGCCTGTAACAAGCTTGAAAAGAAATCAAGCTTGCCAACCAGGAAAAAAAAGGATGTTTAAAAGTACAGGCTTCTGACATTTTAAAAATAAAAATTATAAGAGACAGTGAAGTGGTTTCTACAAAGAGTAATAAAAGCTACGTCAAAATAGAAACTGAATCAGGAGTTTTACTTCATCTCTGTATCCCAGTACTTCTAAGGTAAGAGATATAGCCTAAGGGGAATGTGATGATTGTGGAAAAATTCATGTATATACACATACATGCATAGAAATCAAGAACTGTGGGATTAAATGTAAGGTGTAAATTGTTTGGCTGGACAGTGTGCTCAGCATGCCTGAGTCTGCCTCCAGCTCACCTTCCTGCAGCTGCCTCAGGAATGCACCTGGAAATAGCCAGAAATAATTTTGACTCGTCAAGCTTTCTGTTCCTGTGTATATACAGATTTGGCCTTTTTGCAGTGACAGTTCATTGACAATGAATACCCACCACATTGCTCAGTAATCTAATAATAATCAGATATGTCCTGTGTACTTAAAAGCAACCGTCTTCATGAAAGTTAAAACATCTTAGCTTTCTTAGACACTAGCAGTCATATTTGCTTTGACTTTTCAAAGGTCAAAACTACTTTTTGTAGTTGAATTGAGTAAAGAAGGAGAGGCAAAAGATTTGTGTAAGATTTTCTGTGCACTGTTTCTCTCTCTCTTAAAACCTGATTATTAGCATGTGGCCTCTTCTAAAGGAAAAAATGGAAACAAAAGTTAGGAGAAATTTGAATCCCCCTAAAAAGTGGTCAATTAGCATGTCAACTAAGCAAGCAGAAAAGGAAAAAAAAAAAAATAAGTTCCCTGTATAAGAAAACACTACTGTACTATTGTTTTAAATCTCTTAAGTTATAAAAATATCCCCAATCTGTTAAAGAAATATACAATTATCTAAATTTTGAACTTGACAACAAGGAATTATTTTAGAAAAATATGATTCTCCAGCATTTTTAGTTTATCCCTCTTTTACACTGAGCATCATCGAAACTTTCAACAATCTCTCTGGACATATTTTAAAAACCCAGTATAAACCACTTTTTTTCTCCTGAAAGCTTCCTTTTTTCCCTTGTAATTCCCTGTACATGTTTATGGTTAGTTACCTTTATACACTTTACCAAAATTGCACATGCCCCGAAATTCATTGACAAAACAACCTGAACTTGAGCTATCTAGAACAGTACTTTTAAAAACTCTCATTTTGCATGATTTTGACAAAACAACAGTCTAATTCCTGGAAATGTTTTCTTTGTGAATGTTTGACAAAACTTAAGTCTGTGCTTGCATTATTAAACCACTGTTTTAGTTATGTTAACTTTAAAATCACTACCTAGGGAAGAATGCCAGCCTACACATGCAGCAGATTACTCCCAGATTGCTTCACAAAATGTATAGTTATATACTGGTAACTAACCAATATAATTATATTATATTGGTTAGTTACCAATATCATTTTATATATATAACTATATATTAAGTTACCAATATTGTTATATATATAACTATATTGATAGTTTTATATATATATAAAACAATGCTACAGGGATATAAAACAATGCTACAGGGATGTGAGCTAATGCTACCAGAAAATTAAAAAAAAATCTGTGCAAGTAAAACACACTTACTGTTCCGATCCAGTCCAGTGTTACTGAAATGCCTGCCTCCATTCCTGGCTTGATTCAAGGTGCTGTTGCTGCTGGGGTGTGCTGGAACAGGTTTAACCACATGTGAATAAAGGATTTCTGTAGCATCATTTTTAAAAGCAAAACAGCTTTTCATTAGGATGCATGCAAGGGGAAGAAGATAGAAATGAATGGCAGGAGGAAGCATGGTGAGTAGAAGATTTGCTTGGCTAAAGAGCTGGTTAATTCCTTTGCCTCTGCTTCTGCACTGTAACTGTGAAATTCCTCCTCAAGCTTCCCTTTATATATCCACCGAGGTTTGGCGTTCATTCAGGTGTAAAGTTGTGTAGAGCTTCAGAGTGAAAACACAGAGAAGGGGTGGGATCCCTACATGACCCTGCAAAAGAATTTTACCAATGGAAAAGAAGACTGCAGAAAAGGAGGAGCTTGGTATACAAATTGCCTGAAATTTCAGAGTTGGACTTCATCACTTGTCTGTGAGCCGATGCAGGCAGTCACATTCTATATCAACGACAGACTCTCCCCTGCCATTTCCTTTCCTCAATCTGGTTAACATTCGGGTTTAATTTAAATGAAAATACATTGCCGTTCATTTAAAGAGATTGGCTTTCTCACAGTTGTTCTATACTTTCCTCAGATTTTAGAGTATTTGGGACAGGAAGGGTTTTTTTCCCAGATAACAGGAGGAATTCATGTGAGTTTAAATATTGTAGGACTTGCATGAAGCACCTAGTTAGCTAAACATTGCTTTCTCTCAAGAAGCAAACCAATATATTTTTTCCTTAAAGTAAAAGGCACAGAGCTAAAACCTGCCCCCTGGACATGCTTAAATAATGTAGCTTTGATCTGCATGAACTACTGTGCTGCTAGGTAAATTATTGCCAGGGGTTCTGTGTGGAGAATAATAAGCAGAGTTCTGTCTGCATTAAAGTAACTAATATTCATTTTCATCTTAAAAATGTCATAAGCATTAATATCCATAGCATTGTTTTAAACAAAACAAAGCCATTTCTGACAGATTATTGTTTAGCGAATTCAAAATAATTTTTTCTATATTTTTTCTTTGCTGCAGAACATGAATTCTACTCATAAATTTACTAAGTGTTTTGTTCATTAGACTCTGCTGCCCAAGTAAGAAACCTATTTTTCTGAATTACTTTACCCATACCCAAACATGTGTTCCATTAATTAATTATTGGCCACTGATCATCCCTTTAAAAAAATTATGAAATTCCATTATGGGACATCTCAATTGGAATAACTATTCTGAATCATCTTTTCAATTATAAATTGTTTTTGTTTTTTGTGTGGCTACCCAACTCACCTGATTTTGTATCTCTTTTCTGTATAAGCATTTGTCCATTATAACTGTTTGTCTACCTGAATTTCTCCATAGCTGCACTATTGACATTTTGGAAGAGACAGTTCTTTATTATTGGGGGACTGTCCTGTGTGTTTTTCAGCATCCCTGGCTTCTACCCACTAGACGCCAGTAGCACCCCCTAGTTGGTAACAAAAATATCTCCAAACATTGCTAAACGACCCCTAGGGGTAAAATCACCCCTGATTCCACCACCAATTATCTATTCATCTACCTCACTATAAAAAGAAAGTAAAAATAAGAATAAAGGAAAGCTATTATCATAGAAAGAAATTTTTGTTCTTTTTAAGGACAGAAATGTAACTGTATTTTTGTTTTAAAACAATGACTGCTTCTCTATTAGAGGTATATACTGGAATATCCTTAGGTGAAAGGATTTTATATAATCTTTCATATTATATGGAATAAGCTAGAATAAGCTTCAAAGTAACATGAGGTTAGAGGCGTGAGTGGCAAAAGATTAGTTATAACTTGATGGTTGTTAGAGAAGGATGGTAAAGTAAAATTCTGTCTATTCTTGTGGATGTTTCAAATTCTACATAATAAAAAGTTTAAAAACCAGAGTCAGACAATCAATTTAATGAACATATACTTCCTACTAACAATATATCTTTATCCTAAGATTGGATGTAGTCATTTATTCTAACATCCTTCTTAAAAAATCATGTCAGTTTATTTTGTGCGAGTGGAAATTACAGGCATCCTTCTAAAATACTAACTATGAAGAATTTCTTGTCCTACTTATCAGGGGATTCTATGTTAATTACACAAAGTACGTTAATATTAATAATTGACCCACAGACCCAATGCCTAAAGGAAATTAAAAGGTCAAAATAATCTAATCTGTTTCTCACTGCTTTTTATTTTTTTGTTTGTCAGAAGCAGGAGATATTTTAATTGGAATTTAATTATCAGGTTGGGCTAATGAGATTGACCAAATTCATGCATAGTTGTTAAATCTGCTGCGCGTAATATTCTGTAGGCTCAGCCTTAGGATATCTCCTCAGGCAGAAGAAAATTAGAAGAGAAGACAAGGTAGTTGTGCCTGTGGACAAGACAAACTTAGAGTTCTTGGGCCCAATTTACCTGACAGACCTCTAGAAAACTACTTTGAGGCTGGGTGCAGTGGCTTCTGCCTGTAATCCCAGTACTCGGGAAGGCCAAGTCAGGAGGATCGCTTGAGCACAGGAATTCAAGACCAGCCTGGACAACAGAGTGAGACTGCATCTCTGCAGAAACAAAATAAAAACTAGCTGAGCGTGGTGATTCACACCTGTAGTCCCAGCTACTCGGGATGATAAAGAGGAAAGCTTGAGCCTGAGAGGTTGAGGCTGTAGTGAGTTGTGATAGTACTGCAATGCTCTAGCCTGGGCAAGTGTGAGACTCTGTCTCAAAATAAATAAATAAAAGAAGGAAAACTACTGTGATAAAATGGAAATAATCATACATTTAATATTTAACAGTCATTCTGATCAGTTTAAAACAGTTCCATTAAAAATAACCACAAACTATTGTTTCTCGGCCTTTTGGCTAAGATCAAGTGAAGAATAACCACAAATTATAATAACCCAAGAATGCATATAGATGTTTAATATTGAAATTGATTCTTTCTCATCTCCAGGTGTTACTATGTACATGTTATTCTCTTAACATAGAACACTCTTTCCTCACCCTCTTCCTTGGCTAATCATCTACTTTTCCTTCCAATCTCAGTTTCGATGCTACTAGCACTGAGAAGACTTTCCTTGTCCTCTCTTCCCTCTGTCTGCTCAAGTCTTAATCCAGCATACATGTGCCAGAACAGCTAGTTGCCTAATGACTTGACAAGACTTATGAAAAAAGAACCATTTCTATCTTATGGTATTGTAGATTAGTGGTTAAATTAAGTATTTAAGAGATATAGCAAATACATTCTTTCACATAAAAAGATTGGTTACTATTTGTGGTAGGCAGTTACTAAGATGGCTCCCAATAATCCCCTTCTCATGATATTCACATCCTTGTAGCAATCCCCTTTCCTTGAGTGTGGGAAGAATGTAGTAAATAGTATAATGTACTAACATGATGAGATGTGACTTCTATGATTAGGTTTTCAAAAAGCTGTGACTTCTGTCTTGCTGGCTGCTCTCACTCTCTCACTTGCTTGCTTTGGTGGAAGCCAGCTACCATAACGTGTATTTCCCCACAGAAAGGTCCATGTAACAAGGAACTGATGCCTGTAACCAGCAAGGAACTAAATTAGCCCCTCAACCAAACGGGTGAGAATTCCATCAACAATCACGTGAGAGAGCTTAGAAGCAAATCCTCTCACAGGTAGTCTTTCAGATGAGGCTGCATCCCTGGCTAAAACCTGAATGAAAACTTTAGGAGGGACATCATACGAGAGGCACCCACAGGAACTATGACATAACAAATGTTTGTTGTTTTAACTAAGTTTGGGATAATTTGTTACGTTACATAGATAATCAGTACAATGTTAATTGTAATTAGGTCTTTTGTGAATAATGCTAGGGCCTTGAGAGCATCAGATGTGGAATCATTAGACTTGGTGACTGTGCAACTTTCATTCTCTGGAAGTGTTAAGACTTATTTTCCATTCTCACCTGTGTATCAAGAAAAGTAATATAAAAATAAGAAATTTATTTAAAGACTTATTTTCTAGCCTCAGCTGAGTCATCAATATGGTGGTATTATTAACAATCAAATAATGATATTAGAATTACTACTAGGGGCTTGATTTGCAAAAGCTGGAAACTAATTTTGATTTTCTAAATAGTATCATTTATCATATGATTTGGAAATTAAATTTGAAAATCTGAGTTTGGATCTTAGTTCTGCCATTTACAATCTGTATGAACTTGGATATACAGTTGACCCTTGAACAACACAGCTTTGAACTGTGAGGATCCACTTATACCTGGATTTTCTGCCACCTCTGCCACCCCTGAGACAGCAAGACCAACCCTCCTCTTATTCCTCTCTCAGCCTACTCAGCGTGAAGACAGTGAGTAGGAAGACATGTCTTACGATGATCCACTTCTACTTAATGAAGAATAAATGTATTTTCTCTTCCTTACTATTTTCTTAATAACATTTTCTTTTCTCTAGCTTACTTTAAAAATAGAGTATATCATATACTCTATTACATATATATAAAATTTTTAAAATATGTGTTAATCAACTGTTTATGTTATTGGTAAGGCTGCTAGCTGACAGTAGGCTACTAGTAGTTAAGTTTTGGGGGAGGGAGAAGTTCTATGTGAATTTTCAACTGTACAGGGGTCAGCTCCCTAACTTCCGTGTTGTTCAAGAAAGTTACACTTTCTGAAACTCCCTTAGTCAGTTTCTTCATCTGCAAAACATGACCAAACTTACCTACCTCACCAAGAAACAAAAATATATGAAAGTATCAAGCACAAAACTGGGCACAGAAGAAATGAGGAAAAAAATAGCCATTTAATATGAATCTAGGAGTACTGTTTTATATTATAGCCTTCAATTATAAACATGAGTTTGGAAAGACTAGAGATGTCTGAACAAAAATATGATTACCCTATTTAAGGTAAAGAACAAAAAGTTGAGAGAAGGGAGATTTGTTTAGCCCAACAAAGTAAGAGATAATGGATAAATGTCATTACAGGGAGGGGAGCATCACACACTGGGGTCTGTCGCAGGGGAAATAGGGAGGGACAGTAGGGGGTGGGGAGTTGGGGAGAGATAGCATGGGGGAAAATGCCAGATGATGGGGAGGAAGGCAGCAAATCACACTGCCATGTGTGTACGTATGCAACAATCTTGCATGTCCTTCACATGTACCCCAAAACCTAAAGTGCAATAAAATTAGTCTAAACAATTGTTTTTAAATATTAATAGGGGATGCATCAGAATACAACAGCATCTCTTATCTCCAGGGCATATGTTCCAACACCTCTAGTGAATGCCTCAAACTTCTGGTAGTTCCAAACCTGACTGCCATCATTTGGAACACATTTCTGTTCATCTCTCCTATCCAGAAATTTAATGCCTTTTCCATCTTAATTAAGCATTTATCATGTACTGTAACTGTAACTTGTGCAGTTTGAAGAGCCACAGCAAAACTAGCAGAAATTTTTTTTCTTCTTTCATTAATCAAAGATTCTTTCTTACCATAGATCTCAGTAAACTCACCATATGATTTTTTTTTTCTTTCTCTGTTAAGTTGAAAACTTTCACCTTTTCCCTCAAAGGAAACACTTTATGGCTTCTCTTTGGCATATCTGAATTGTCAGCATCACTACTCTTGTGCTTTGGGACTGTTATGAAGTAAAATAAGAGTTCCTTGAACACACAGCACTTC